CATAAATCAAAGCTTATTCATTAGTCAGAACTAGACACTGCTTCTTCCAGCTGTTTCAGAATCCCCCTAGACCGTACTATGTGGGACAGCAGCTTGCACCCCGGGCGCTTAGTAGTAATGATGGCTCTCAGGTCCGACTGAATCAGCATCGAACTTTCGTGCATCAGATTACTCACACGCACATTAAAGTTTGAGAACTGCTCTCAAGTACCAGATATCATGGAAGTAACTATTTTTGTACAAGAAAAAAATTTCCCTTCAGTGAAGCTCATTCATCAGGCAAGTCAGGCTGAATCCACTCACAGCGTGTCGCTTATGGACAGTAACATGCACTGCTCCCTCCTACGTGGGCGGGGGTGCCCCAGGCGAGAGGGAGAAACAGCTCTTCCACCTTGAGCGGGGACACCCGTCATTCTTACAAATGTCCCAGGCCCCAAGGTCTCTGACCTCATCTCTAACACACCCCTCATTTACGCCTTTCTCGCCTATGTCCCCCAAATGCCTCTGTGCAGTTACTTTTTGTTGTTCTCCTGGGACTTCCAAACGAGTAGCCGGCAGGACAAATTAAGTGAGGAGGTGCTACAGATGAAAGATAGTCATCCCACAGGAGTGTGGGATGGCCTGCAATTTGAGGTAGTTCAACCTAGACAAATCACCGGGCCTTAGCCCAGCATCTCTGACATCAGACTACAACGGATACACTTACAGCCAAATCTAGAGCTGTACTATACAGAAAAGCCAAACCATTTTTTTTATATTTAAAAACAGATGCATTTATATCTGGTAACTTCTTATGAAAAGGTAAGCACAGTAATTTTCTCCCAACAGAGAAAATGTTTACATCACACTAATTATTATGCCGTACTCTCTTACTTACAATAATAAGAATATCAGGTTTAATGTTAGGAATTTCAGCCGCCATTAAGTGTCTATCTTCTTGTCTTGAGAAATCACCTGTGTACAAAAGCTGTAAAAAACATAAGCTAAGTTAGGACTGTGGAAGGTCTCACTTTACTATCCGACTATTGGAGAGCGTACTCCCAGAATCACCCCACCGCGGGAACCTGTCTATTATAAACCTGAAGCATTCAGAACATCTCAGTGAAAATGC